TTTTAAAACTGCCTGCTCTATTTATATGTATCATTTTGCAATATGTGCATACAAAAATAAACATAACTTCACGTTAAGGATGTACAAAATTTTTGAACTATTCAGAGACATGATCTATTTGCAAAATAGATAATGGGGAAGAAGTCGTCAAGTGCTTTGGGTCCAAAAATTTACTATAAGTTACCTAATGAAGTAAAATTATGTGTCTCATTAGAAAACTTCAAAACATGCTTAAAAAGTTTATTGTTGAATAAGTGCCTGTACAGTGTGTCTGACCTTGTTGATGTCTAAGTATTTTATATTACTTGTGTTTGTGATGAATCCAATGCATATTATTGTTTTCTGGATAATAAAGAATTGAATATGTCGAGTAAAACTATACGTTTTAATCCAGCAGCCGAAAATACGCATAGAAGCTGTAATATTCTGTCAATCTAGACAACCGCAACATTAACAGCTCATGGTTAGCTGAGTTTCCAACTTCTCTGTATAAACAATACGCACAACAGAGAAGCAACATGGATGCGAAACAATATTGAACCGTCGCAGTGCGATTCAGTATACGAGCACATATGTTTGCTTCTACTAGTTTTACAAAATAATGAGAGTCGCAATTCGTGCCTTATCAGCGTGCTCTGTCAGCGCTGGCATTAGAACCAATCATCATTCGCAATGTTTGGATGCATTTTGAGTTCGGCATGTTTACCAGCGTCGCATGTGCTTGCCTTGATTTGTAACAAGTTCGTCGAATAAAAATTTCCAATTAAAAAATTGTGGCAGAGAACAACCTTGGCAGCTTGCCATTTCCACTGCCCTCAATATAAATAAGAGGCATCCAGTAGGTTCTTAAAGAACTCACAAGTTAATCCATTTGAGGAAGAATTATTACATCCCGGTCCCACCCGTCAACACCATCATCATGATTCGCAAGTTATTAATATTTATTGCGTTCACAAAAGAACCAAAGATTAAATGAAACAACAAAAATTTGCCTCTGAAAACAAAAACTTCTATCTATCTATCAGCAACGCTGCGATCCTTATTTTTTCCCCAGACCTACCGCCAGTACCGACGATCAGGCAACGTTGGTGTGTTACGCAAACGTATAAGTACGATGCGTCGCCTTGCAGACGATACGCGACGCGTATTGAAAATAAACTTCTATCCTCAGTTATACAGGGTGTTTCAGTTTATTGTTGCATAACTTTAAGATTCAATAGAACCTTTAAAATTAATGCATAAAGTCTATATAAACATGGGTCGAAAAATGCGTGGCTTCCGAAATACCGGGTGTTTAAATTTACTTTCTAAAATAGTTTTTTTTTTAAATATTTCGAACAATATTTGATGTATAACAGTGAAAATTGGTATACAAGGGTTTTTTGGCACGACAAAACGAACCATGGGCATAGTTCTACTGTATCCGCTAGAGGGCGCTCTCTACTGTACCTGTAGTGTATTAAAATGACCGAAAAATTTTTCTTAGTGCAATTTTTTGCTTTTTGAATAAAAAAACTTTTATGCATAAAAAAGCTCTCCTGTGAGTTTTCGTTATAGTTAGCCGTTTTTGAGATGTTTCGATTTTTAAGGTTCGATGCATTTTTAATTATCTATGGGAAAATAATATTTTTTTTACATTTTAGATTTGGGCATTACAAGTAATTAAGACGATCGTTTAGATTGTGTTTTTAAACACAGCAATAATTCCTAACTCCAAATAAACACAAAAAAGCAGAATATCAATTTGTTTAATTTTCCAATATCATTTCTAACAAGTTAAATGAATATTGGATGCTATTTGATAGTTAGATCAAACATACAAAATCTAAAGTAGTTGCTCGAAATGTAAACCCAATTGTTCAATAAACAATTCACAGCTACGAATGATCGAACGTGATATAGCATTATTCAAATAAGGCCTTACTTCATCACATGCATTCCTGATTCTGTCTATTAGCATATCTCTGGTGGTTATGGGAGTCTGGTACACTTTTTCTTTTAGAAATCCCCACACAAAGAAATCCAATGGATTTAGGTCAGGGGATCGTGGAGGCCAGGCGACTGGTCCTCCACGGCCAATCCATCTTTCTGGATAATTTTCGTCCAGCCAGTTTCTAACTATTCTCGAATAATGAGCTGGACAACCATCAAGCTGGAACCAGGCCAATTTTATTAAATCTAACATAACATCATCCCACATATTTGCATGTTCAGCCTTTACAAGTTCCAAGAAGGTCGCAGCATTTAACCTTGCAGGCAAAAGGTACGGTCCAAATAGTCGATTACGGTAGATACCAATCCACACGTTCACACTAAATTCATGCTGAAAACTTCTTTCCCGAACTGCATGCGGATTTTCATGCGACCAAATATGTTGATTAGGAAAATTTACCACTCCACGTCTAGTGAAGCATGACTCATCGGTCCATAAAACGTTACTTAAGAACTCCCTATTATTATCAGTTCTCTCAAGAATCCGCTGACAAAATGTGATTCTTCGTTCTCCGTCCCCTGGCTGTAGTCCTTGCACAGGTTGCAAATGGTAAGGACGTCTATGGTCATTTCTAAGAACATGGTGAACATGGTTTGCTGATATTCTTGAGGCACCAGAAACTCTCCTAACACTTGTGGTCGGATCTATATCAAACTCACGCAGAATCATACGGGTAAATCTGCGCTGACGAAAATTTATGTTTTGATCTCTTTGGAGATTTCCAAAACCATTTTCAATTATTTGGCGATGCACTCTTACAAATACTGAGCGAGTTGGATGTCGTCTGTTTGGAAATCTTCGTGCGTATTATCTGGCTGCTTCTGCTGCGTTTCCATTTACAAAGCCATACAACACAAAATGAATATCCGCTAACCCTTGATTGGAGAATAAAAATGGCATTTTTATAAAACTTACAAAAAAAAACAGGTAAAAGAAACTAAATGTCGTGCATTCACAATTGCAAAAAAACGTTTCAGGTTTCAAAAGACAACAAAACTAACTGTCAACTAATTGACGCTTAACCTTATTCTGCTTTCAATTTCAAAAATATTTGCAGGCACAGCCTACTTCTAAAAATTATCGAGATACTGACTTTTTAACGTTATTTTATCATAAATAATTAAAAATGCATCGAACCTTAAAAATCGAAATATCTCAAAAACGGATAACTATAACGAAAATTCACAACGGCTGTGGTTGCGTTCAAGAAATACATTTCTGTCGTCAGAGAAACATTGAGCTAGATGCTGCATGAAGCGCTTTTCTTTTATATAAATCATACTGCGGAGACGTATAAGTTTTATGAAGGCTTTTTCCAAATACCAGCAACGAACGTCTGCCGCGAAGGAAATTATCCCCCTCAGTAAGCTTCCTAATACCGTGTAATCCGCTGAACTCCAAGAGCAAACACCTCTAACAGAATTAGCAGGATCCCTTCCGGAAAGCTGACCTGCAGTTGTTCGCCTGCAGCTGTACATTACCAGCTTGTGGTCCTCGTGGGAAATAAAATATTCCTTGTGAGTTTCGAGAAAGTTTCGACCTTACCATGCAATTTGCGTAGCTGTTTTTTTGTTCATCATATTCTCATCTCAAAGTGCATTCGCTCAGAAAAGTATTCTGATACATTTTTTACACAATCTTATTTAAAAAATACATCAGAAATTGTTGGCTCAATTTTTGAAGCAAATTTAAAAAATTGGCTTATCGCTCTGAACAAAACCTTGCTATTTTTTTGTCATTGTGCACAAAAAAGATATTTAAACTTTTCTCTAAAGTTAATAGCTTGCGAGGAATAAGCGATTTATCATTTGAAAAAATGCAAAATGTACGATTTTCGTCCACGAAAAGCAATATGAAAGAAGAAAAAAAATGTAATGTCTCCAATGTTCCTAAATATTTTTCAGCCACCCAGTAAGAAAATCATAAAGCATTTCAGTGGATATTTTTATTGTAAACCCTCGTTTTTAATTGTTCATAAAGCGTGCGCTGTACTACATTCTGTCATCTTTGGAAACCAGTTCAAAAGGAGCCAAAAACCTAAAAAAACTTTGTCAAGAACGAAAAAGCCAATTTTTGAAATTTGTAAGAAAATTGTGTAAACACCTTTAAACGCAAGTTTGGGCTTGATAAGATGCAAATTCGTTATAAGAGGTCGTTCTTGAACAAGATTATGAGAAAAGAGAAACAAAATATTTTTCCCAGTGGATGCAAAGATAAATAATATACTCCTTGGACATTATTCCATTTATCTCCATCTAGCTTCTGTCAAAGTGGTCTGTACGCACAATGTATCAAATTGTGAGGCTGCTCAAAATCACCAGTTGCTTGAAGATTTTGAATATCTACACAAACCTACCAAATGTCGTTGATATAAAAAAGCGGCTTTTCTCATTTCAGAATAATCAGCGCCCTTTTTGGCTACTCCAAAAAATTTAAGAAATCGTTAATTATAGAAGAACGCACTCTGGAGGATAAAAGTGCTTTACATAATTGCTTTTTGCTTTTGCTTCTACAAAAATTGACATACCCGCTAAAATCCGAAATGTGCTATGCCTAGCTCCCGCCTTTCGCCATATTGAATGGTGTTGTTTTAGACTTAAGCATCCCACAAACCGGCGCGAAATATTCGCTTTGGCTGCGAAAATTTCGCGGCGATGAATTCGCGATCAGATTAAAACGCGGCGGTTTACTGACAGGGTCAGACTTGTGCGAAGCGAATGCGATTGTTCCAGCGTTTTTATCGCGGCGTATTTCAGTTCGCCTTTGACCGCGTTTCTGACGCCGTTCTTCAAAAATTCGCAATGGCAAAAACGGAATTATTGATAGAAAAAGTGAAAAAGTATCCTTGTTTGTATGATTTGTCGAACGATGAATACAGGAATGTGAGAAAGAAAGACAAGATTTGGATGGAAATAGGAAAAGAATTAAATACAAATGGTATGTACCTAATATTTTTTATTAACTTGTTAAATAATTTACAGTCTACACAAATGTGAAAACGAACATTCTATATATTGGGTATAGGCATATCAGAATTAAAATAATTTACGAATTTGTCACGAGTAGAAAATGCTAGCCTTGCTGCCCGCAGAGGATCATTTGCTATATCAGTAAAAGCTCCAAGCACGGGTTCTGGGGGATCTAAGAATTGAAAATATTTGTCATCGCCACTTTTACTTCGTAAAAAATTGTGTAAAACACATGCCGTACGTACAATTAGAATAGTAGTATCTACTTTAGTTTCTAATGGCCTGTAAAATATTCGCCATTTTTGAGACAAAATACCAAACGCATTTTCCACGAACCTTCTAGCTCGACAAAGTCTTACATTGTATTTCTCTTTTCTGACGTCTGTTAAAGTCTGCTTATAAGGAAATGGTCTCATAAGGTATGGTTTTAAAGCAAATGCTTCATCGCCAATTAAGACGTACGAGCAGATTTCATTTTGCCCAGGGAAAAATCTAGGTGCAGGGACACTCATTAAATTTTGTTCAAATCGTTTTCCCATGTTTGAGGTTTCGAAAATACCCCCATTACTATTTTTTCCGAAACCACCAATATCAACACTTATAAGTTTATAGTCCGGGCCAACAATGGCCATAAGTACTATTGAATATTTATGTAAATAGCACCAGTAATTGGAGCCACTGTTGTTGGGTCTCTTGATTGTTACATGTTTACCGTCCACGCTGCCAATGCAATTGGGAAATCCGCATCTATTTTCAAATTCTTCAGCACATTTTTTCCATATATTCTCTGTTGGTTCTGGTAAATATATATGTTCCATATGTCTGCATATCGCTTCACAGACTTGTACTCACTGTTGTAAAGCCAACTCGAAAGCTATGCCCAATGGTATAGAAGGTGTCACCAGTGGCAAGGAATCTATAAAAAAAATCGTTTTTAGGTGATGAAGTAAAAAAAAGGTGGAAGAATATCAGAGACCCATTTGCAAAATATATAAAATCTACCAAACCAAAGACCGGCCAAGCAGTGGGCAACATAAAAAAATGGCAGTGAGCTGACTACATGGGATTTTTCCGTCCTTTTTTGGCATTTGCCAAAACGTCGTCTAATGTGAAAGATATTGACGACATACATTATGAGACTGCCGAATTTAACTCAAATATATATCAGGAAAGGGCTGGAAATGTAAAAACCGAAAATTTGGAAGTCCGCGGCCATGGAGAAGATGAAAATGCTGATGTAGATGCAGAAGATGCACAGAACGCCTCGGCAACACAGACAGCACCACCTTCTTCATTGAACACTACAGCAGTGACTACTCCAGGGCACACCTTTCCGCAGACTGCAACTACACCAAAATATAAAACGAGCAGAAAACGCTATGAACCACCAACTTCGTCTGTACAACAGCTCATTAATTATTTTGAAGGTAAAAAACCTAAAAAAGAGAACGAGGCCATTGATTCACTTTTCTTGGCACATGCACAGACTGTGAAAACACTTCCCTTAAAGCGTCAAGCCCGAATAAAACTAAAAATAGCCGAATTAATAGCGCACGAATAATTTGAACATATTGAAGAAATGTCTTCAGCGTCTACCCAGAATTCTGCAAGTATGTATGATAGTAGTATGTCGTCCTTCCCAAGCGGCACTGGGTGTACTCCAATAATATACCCAACATAGGACGCAAATTCTGCCTCGACTTATTTAGCAACATTTAATCCTAGTGGCAACATGTAGTCCAATTATTACAATAAAATATTTATTTCACGATCCCTGAAGTTTTCGTATTCGATAAGCCTACTAATTTTAATACATATAATTTTTTTACCTGAGTGTAATAGCAAGTCGTTCTTCCGGCGAAATAGCTTCTCGATAATTTGTGTCAGATTTTCGTATTTCATCTTTCACCAAGTTCAATATTTCATCGAAACACTCTGGAGTCGTTCTAAAATATACGTAAAAGCGCTGTTCATCCAGCCGAAGTTGTGGCATCAAGGTATGGTATTTCCCAAATTTATTTCGTTCCAAGTTAATATCATGTACCCACTTCCTTCGTTTCCTAAACAAAATTGAAAATATTTGTTTTATGTACTTCGTTAAACTTAATACATACCCAACTATCAAATGGCGTTAAATAAACATAACTTACCATGCATTTTGTTCCTCCTCTAAAGCAAGAAATAGAAGTGCCTCCTCTTCTTCTGAAGACGAGCTCATTGCAAAAGGCAAAAATAAAATGTACGCAACCTGTCGAAACCTTCACGTTCGCGGAGCGAATAAGACGCTTTGATATGAAAAAGCATCCCACAAACCGGCGCGAAATAATCGCTGCGAAGTATTCGCAACGAAATTCAGAGCGAAATTCGCAACCTGTTTCGCCTGTTTATTCATACCAAAGCGTCTTATTCGCTCCGCGAACGTGAAGGTTTCGACAAGTTGCGTACATTTTATTTTTGCCTTTTGCAATGAGCTCGTCTTCAGAAGAAGAGGAGGCACTTCTATTTCTTGCTTTAGAAGAGGAACAAAATGCACGGTAAGTTATGTTTATTTAACGCCATTTGATAGTTGGGTATGTATTAAGTTTAACGAAGTACATAAAACAAATATTTTCAATTTTGTTTAGGAAACGAAGGAAGTGGGTACATGATATTAACTTGGAACGAAATAAATTTGGGGAATACCATACCTTGATGCCACAACTTCGGCTGGATGAACAGCGCTTTTACATATATTTTAGAATGACTCCAGAGTGTTTCGATGAAATATTGAACTTGGTGAAAGATGAAATACGAAAATCTGACACAAATTATCGTGAAGCTATTTCGCCAGAAGAACGACTTGCTATTACACTCAGGTAAAAAAATTATATGTATTAAAATTAGTAGGCTTATCGAATACGGGGATCGTGAAATAAATATTTTATTGTAATAATTGGACTACATGTTGCCACTAGGATTAAATGTTGCTAAATAATTCGAGGCAGAATTTGCCTCCTCTGTTGGGTATATTATTGGAGTAAACCCAGTGCCGCTTGGGAAGGACGACATACTACTATCATACATACTTGCAGAATTCTGGGTAGACGCTGAAGACATTTCTTCAATATGTTCAAATTCTTCGTGCGCTATTAATTCGGCTATTTTTAGTTTTATTCGGGCTTGACGCTTTAAGGGAAGTGTTTTCACAGTCTGTGCATGTGCCAAGAAAAGTGAATCAATGGCCTCGTACTCTTTTTTAGGTTTTTTACCTTCAAAATAATTAATGAGCTGTTGTACAGACGAAGATGGTGGTTCATAGCGTTTTCTGCTCGTTTTATATTTTGGTGTAGTTGCAGTCTGCGGAAAGGTGTGCCCTGGAGTAGTCACTGCTGTAGTGTTCAATGAAGAAGGTGGTGCTGTCTGTGTTGCCGCGGTCTTCCAAATTTTCGGTTTCTACATTTCCAGCCCATTCCTGATATATATTTGAGTTAAATTCGGCAGTCTCATAATGTATGACGTCAATATCTTTCACATTAGACGACGTTTTGGCAAATGCCAAAAAAGGACGGAAAAATTCCATGTAGTCAGCTCACTGCCATTTTTTTATGTTGCCCACTGCTTGGCCGGTCTTTGGTTTGGTAGATTTTATATATTTTGCAAATGTGTCTCTGATATTCTTCCACCTTTTTTTTACTTCATCGCCTAAAAACGATTTTTTTTATAGATTCCTTGCCACTGGTGACACCTTCTATACCATTGGGCATAGCTTTCGAGTTGGCTTTACAACAGTGAGTGCAATCGTAACCGAAGTCTGTGAAGCGATATGCAGACATATGGAGCATATATATTTACCAGAACCAACAGAGAATATATGGAAAAAATGTGCTGAAGAATTTGAAAATAGATGGGGATTTCCCAATTGCATTGGCAGCGTGGACGGTAAACATGTAACAATCAAGAGACCTAACAACAGTGGCTCCAATTACTGGTGCTATTTACATAAATATTCAATAGTACTTATGGCCATTGTTGGCCCGGACTATAAATTTATATGTGTTGATATTGGTGGTTTCGCAAAAAATAGTGATGGGGGTATTTTCGAAACCTCAAACATGGGAAAACGATTTGAACAAAATTTAATGAGTGTCCCTGCACCTAGATTTCTCCCTGGGCAAAATGAAATCTGCTCGTACGTCTTAATTGGTGATGAAGCATTTGCTTTAAAACCATACCTTACGAGACCATTTTCTTATAAGCAGACTTTGACAGACGTCAGAAAAGAGAAATACAATGTAAGACTTTGTCGAGCTAGAAGGGTCGTGGAAAATGCGTTTGGTATTTTGTCTCAAAAATGGCGAATATTTTACAGGCCATTAGAAACTAAAGTAGACACTACTATTCTAATTGTACGTACATAATTTTTTACGAAGTAAAAGTGGCGATGACAAATATTTTCAATTCTTAGGTTCCCCAAAACCCGTGCTTGGAGCTTTTACTGATATAGCAAATGATCCTCGGCGGGCAGCAAGGCTAGCATTTTCTACTCGTGACAAATTCGTAAATTATTTTAATTCTGATATGCGTATGCCCAATACAGGGTGACTTCGAAGTTGAGTCATTTATTTTAACAGTGTGTAGATCTGATCAAAAGAAATGTTTTTTTCCTTTACCATTTTTCTGGTAAAATTAAAGTAACAAAGTTATAGCCCTTTGGAAGTTTGAGTACCGCCCTGTCTCAATAATATCATGTGTTCGTGTTTGGCAACAACGGTTCATCGCATCGGAAACAAAAAAGCGAAAGAATTTGGAACGATGTTTTTACGATTACAATTCAGTTCAGTTATACATACAGTCAGTTTCAGTCGCGTGTGAATAGTGAAATAAAAAATGGCACATGTTTATGCGGATCGGTTTCCCAATCGAGTGCAACCAACCCCTCGTGCCTTTGTTAATGTAGTACAACGGGCTCGTGAATCAGGTGACTTAAGACCTCACAGGGGACCTCACGATCAAATACAGGTCCGCACTGAAATACTTGTCGGGAGGATACTTTATAAAACAAGGTAAAATTTTTATTTAATTTTTTTTTTATTTTTACACACATATTTTGGTTTATCTTCCTTCTACAATCATTATCTGAAAATTAATGACTCAACTTCAAAGTCACCCTGTATATAGAATGTTCGTTTTCACATTTGTGTAGACTGTAAATTATTTAACAAGTTAATAAAAAATATTAGGTACATACCATTTGTATTTAATTCTTTTCCTATTTCCATCCAAATCTTGTCTTTCTTTCTCACATTCCTGTATTCATCGTTCGACAAATCATACAAACAAGGATACTTTTTCACTATTTCTATCAATAATTCCGTTTTTGCCATTGCGAATTTTTGAAGAACGGGGTCAAAAACGCGGTCAAAGGCGAACTGAAATACGCCGCGATAAAAACGCTGGAACAATCGCATTCGCTTCGCACAAGTCTGAGCCTGTCCGTAAACCGCCGCATTTTAATCTGATCGCGAATTCATCGCCGCGAAATTTTCGCAGCCAAAGCGAATATTTCGCGCCGGTTTGTGGGATGCTTAACAGGCGAAACAGATTGCGAATTTCGCTCTGAATTTCGTTGCGAATATTTCGCCGCGATTATTTCGCGCCGGTTTGTGGGATGCTTTAATTGTAATATTCGATTCTTCTCTATACCGCCCAATGTACATATTCGACTCCTACAAAATATTCGCAAATACAGGGTGGGCCAAGAATTCGTTAGCATTTAAATAATACGCCACGCAAACAGATGCCGCGCGACGCGCGGGG